GATGAGCTCTAAGTGTCCCCAAGTCCATCTGTGCACCTAAACTAAGATTGTCATCACGGCCGGCCGTGACCCTGGGGACAAGGCTGTCCCCAAGGCTGTCCCCAAGGCTGGCTGGGACCCTGGGGACAAGGCTGTCCCCAAGGCTGACCACAAGCTGGGGACAAGGCTGTCCCCAAGGCTGACCACAAGCTGGGGACAAGGCTGTCCCCAAGGCTGACCACAAGCTGGGGACAAGGCTGTCCCCAAGGCTGACCACAAGCTGGGGACAAGGCTGTCCCCAAGGCTGACCACAAGCTGGGGACAAGGCTGTCCCCAAGGCTGACCACAAGCTGGGGACAAGGCTGTCCCCAAGGCTGACCACAAGCTGGGGACAAGGCTGTCCCCAAGGCTGACCACAAGCTGGGGACAAGGCTGTCCCCAAGGCTGACCACAAGCTGGGGACAAGGCTGTCCCCAAGGCTGACCACAAGCTGGGGACAAGGCTGTCCCCAAGGCTGACCACAAGCTGGGGACAAGGCTGTCCCCAAGGCTGACCACAAGCTGGGGACAAGGCTGTCCCCAAGGCTGACCACAAGCTGGGGACAAGGCTGTCCCCAAGGCTGACCACAAGCTGGGGACAAGGCTGTCCCCAAGGCTGACCACAAGCTGGGGACAAGGCTGTCCCCAAGGCTGACCACAAGCTGGGGACAAGGCTGTCCCCAAGGCTGACCACAAGCTGGGGACAAGGCTGTCCCCAAGGCTGACCACAAGCTGGGGACAAGGCTGTCCCCAAGGCTGACCACAAGCTGGGGACAAGGCTGTCCCCAAGGCTGACCACAAGCTGGGGACAAGGCTGTCCCCAAGGCTGACCACAAGCTGGGGACAAGGCTGTCCCCAAGGCTGACCACAAGCTGGGGACAAGGCTGTCCCCAAGGCTGACCACAAGCTGGGGACAAGGCTGTCCCCAAGGCTGACCACAAGCTGGGGACAAGGCTGTCCCCAAGGCTGACCACAAGCTGGGGACAAGGCTGTCCCCAAGGCTGACCACAAGCTGGGGACAAGGCTGTCCCCAAGGCTGACCACAAGCTGGGGACAAGGCTGTCCCCAAGGCTGACCACAAGCTGGGGACAAGGCTGTCCCCAAGGCTGACCACAAGCTGGGGACAAGGCTGTCCCCAAGGCTGACCACAAGCTGGGGACAAGGCTGTCCCCAAGGCTGACCACAAGCTGGGGACAAGGCTGTCCCCAAGGCTGACCACAAGCTGGGGACAAGGCTGTCCCCAAGGCTGACCACAAGCTGGGGACAAGGCTGTCCCCAAGGCTGACCACAAGCTGGGGACAAGGCTGTCCCCAAGGCTGACCACAAGCTGGGGACAAGGCTGTCCCCAAGGCTGACCACAAGCTGGGGACAAGGCTGTCCCCAAGGCTGACCACAAGCTGGGGACAAGGCTGTCCCCAAGGCTGACCACAAGCTGGGGACAAGGCTGTCCCCAAGGCTGACCACAAGCTGGGGACAAGGCTGTCCCCAAGGCTGACCACAAGCTGGGGACAAGGCTGTCCCCAAGGCTGACCACAAGCTGGGGACAAGGCTGTCCCCAAGGCTGACCACAAGCTGGGGACAAGGCTGTCCCCAAGGCTGACCACAAGCTGGGGACAAGGCTGTCCCCAAGGCTGACCACAAGCTGGGGACAAGGCTGTCCCCAAGGCTGACCACAAGCTGGGGACAAGGCTGTCCCCAAGGCTGACCACAAGCTGGGGACAAGGCTGTCCCCAAGGCTGACCACAAGCTGGGGACAAGGCTGTCCCCAAGGCTGACCACAAGCTGGGGACAAGGCTGTCCCCAAGGCTGACCACAAGCTGGGGACAAGGCTGTCCCCAAGGCTGACCACAAGCTGGGGACAAGGCTGTCCCCAAGGCTGACCACAAGCTGGGGACAAGGCTGTCCCCAAGGCTGACCACAAGCTGGGGACAAGGCTGTCCCCAAGGCTGTCCCCAAGGCTGGCTGTGACCCTGGGGACAAGGCTGTCCCCAAGGCTGACCACAAGCTGGGGACAAGGCTGTCCCCAAGGCTGTCCATGACCCTGGGGACAAGGTTGTCCCCAAGGCTGTCACTGAGCCCGGTGACACAGGGGAAGAGCACGGAGGAGGGCCTGCAGCAGGTGGATGAGCTGGTGGCACAGTACCGGCGCGGCTGCCTCTGGTGGATCTCACCATGGATGCCCATCCTCCGCCTCTTCCACCCCGAGACCCTCCGTCCCATCCTCCTGGCCGCAGGTAGGAATGAGGGTCACCAACCTGGCCTTGAGGGTCCCCAGGGCCACCTAGAGGTGTCACCATATCGGGTCCAGTGACCTGACTGTGCCCATGCAACCCACCTTCTGGTGGCCACCAACCCAACCCCAACCATCTCCAGAGCCACAGTGATCACACTTGGCTGACCCAGTGAGTGCCCATGCCATGGTGGCCACCAACGTGTCCTTGAGGGTCCCCAGGGCCACCCAGAGGTGTCACCATGTCCAGCTCAGTGACCTGGCCATGCCCATGCAACCCATCTTGTGGTGGCCACCAGCCCAACCCCAACCATCCTCAGAGCCACCCAGTGGTCACCCTTGCCTGGCCCAATGAGTGCCCAAACGCCCATTCATGGTGGCCACCAACCTATCCTTGAGGGTCCCCAGGGCCACCCAGAGGTGTGACCCGTAGCCAGCCCAAATGCCACCCCATGGTGGCCACCAACCTATCCTTGAGGGTTCCCAGGGCCGCCCAGAGGTGTGACCCATGGCTAGCCCATGCCCATCCCACAATGGCCACCAACCTATCCTTGAGGTTCCTCAGGGCCACCCAAAGGTGCCACTATGGCCAACATGGTGGCCTGGTTGTACCCCAAACCCTATCTTGGGGTGGTTATGGGTGCAGATGGGGGGTCCCCTCACCCTAGGGACCCCACCCTCCTTGCAAGCCCCGGAGGGGACCTGATGGCACCCTGGTGGCACCCGTCACCGGCCCCCCACCCATCTCTCGCAGCCTCCATCGCCCCCAAGGACCAGCTTTTCTACGGCTTCCTCAAGCCCTGGCTGGGTGAGTAGGTGCTTGGAGGTGGTGGGATGGGTGGGGGGCAGCACCCATGGGTGCCCCATGGATGTAGCTGGGGGTCTCGCTGCAGGGGACGGGCTGCTGCTGAGCCACGGGCGGAAGTGGGCTCAGCACCGGCGCCTGCTGACACCCGCCTTCCACGGGGACCTCCTCAAGTCCTACGTGGGCATCTTCAACCAGAGCACCCACATCCTGCACGTGAGCACCCGCTGCCTGTGCCCCGAGCCCAATCCTGCACCCCGAGCCCATCCTGCACCCTGACCTGCACCCCAAGCCCTGTCCTGCACCCCAAGCCTGTCCTGCACCCACTGACTGTGCCCTGAGCCCCATCCTGCACCCCGAGCCTGTCCTGCACCCACTGACTGTGCCCTGAGCCCCATCCTGCACCCCAAGTCCAATCCTGCACCCCGAGCCCTGTCCTGCACTCCGAGCCCAATCCTGCACCCTGACCTGCGCCCTGAGCCCCATCCTGCACCCAGACCCCATCCTGTACCCCGAGCCCAATCCTGCACCCTGAGCCCCATCCTATACCCTGAGCCCCATCCTGCACCCCGAGCCTGTCCTGCACCCCGAGCCCGTCCTGCACCCTGATCTGCACCCAGACCCCATCCTGCACCCTGAGCCCATCCTGCACACCAAGCCCATCCTGCACCCCGAGCCCCATCCTGCACCCACTGACTGCGCCCTGAGCCCCATCCTGCACCCTGAGCCCTGTCCTGCACCTCTGTCCTGCAACCAGACCCCATCCTGCACCCACTGCCTGCACTTTGTCCTGCACCCTGAGCGCCATCCTGCACCCTGAGTCCCATCCTGCACCCAGACCCCATCCTGCACCCAGACCCCATCCTGTACCCCGAGCCCCATCCTGCACCCAGACCCCATCCTGCACCCTGTCCTGCACCCTGAGTCCCATCCTGCAGCCTGAGCCCCATCCTGCACCCTGAGCCTGTCCTGCACCCTGACCTGCACCCCAAGCCCTGGCCTGCACCCTGAGCCCCATCCTGCACCCCGAGCCCATCCTGCACCCTGACCTGCACCCTGAGCCCCATCCTGCACCCTGAGCCCCATCCTGCACCCAGACCGCATCCTGAACCCACTTCCTGCACTCTGTCCTGCACCCTGAGCCCATCCTGCACCCCAAGCCGTGTCCTGCACCCCAAGCCCGTCCTGCACCCCAAGCCCATCCTGCACCTGCTGACTGTGTCCTGAGCCCCATCCTGCACCCTGAGCCCCATCCTGCACCCTGACCTGCACCCCGAGCCCTGGCCTGCACCCTGAGCCCATCCTGCACCCTGAGCCCCATCCTGCACTCCAAGCCCTGTCCCCACACCGCTGTCCTGCACCCCGACCCCATCCTGCACCCCGAGCCTGTCCTGCACCCTGACCTGCACCCCGAGCCTGTCCTGCACCCTGACCTGCACTCCGAGCCCCATCCTGCACCCTGAGCCCCATCCTGCACCCACTGCCTGCACCCAGACCCCTGTTCTTCACCCAGACCTGTCCTCACACCCCTGTCCTGCACCCCAACCCATCCTGCACCCTGAGCCCCATCCTGCACCCTGAGCCCCATCCTGCACCCCTCCCTGCCTGCAGGCCAAGTGGCGGGGACACGCAGCGGGGGGTGCGGTGGGGCTGGAGGTGCTGGAGCAGCTCAGCCTCCTCACCCTGGACACCCTTCAGAGCTGCATCTTCGGCCACCAGAGCCACTGCCAAGAGTGAGCGGCACCCCCTCCCCCCACAAGGGACCCCCCCAGCTCTGTCCCCTGTTGGGGTCCCCCCTTCCCTGGTTTGGTCCCCAGCTGGGGTCCCCCTGGCCTTTGCACCCATCAGGGTCCCCACCATCCCAACGCTTTCCCCTCTAGGGTCCCCCCCTATCCGCTCCCCTCAGGGTGCCCACCCTAGTGTCACCCCAACCTGGCCCCACATGTCCTCAACCGGCAGTGCTCTTGCTGCCACCCCACGTCCCCGCTGAAGCTCACCATGGCCAGAGGGGTGACCATCCCCAATGGCCAGGGGTGGCCATCCCTGGTGGCCCCTCGGTGGCCATCTCCAAACGGTTCCCCTGGTGCCCCACAGGCAGCCCAGCGAGTACATCAAGGCCATCTTGGAGCTGAGCACCTTGGTGGTGAGACGCCATCACCGCCTGCTCCATCACCCAACGTGGCTCTACCGCCTCTCGGCTGACGGGCGCCGCTTCGCCCAAACCTGCGCCACCGTGCACAGCTTCACCGCCGCCGTGGTGCAGCGCCGGCGTCAGGCCCTTGACCGCCTTGGCCACCAGGCCTGGCTGGAGAGCCACCAGGGACGGAGCATGGCCTTCATTGACCTTCTCCTGCTCTCTAAGGTAGGGCCAGGGTGAGGTGGTGTGGCCATGGGCAGGGTTGGCAATAGGGTGGTGACCATAGAGGGATGGTGGTGGCCAAGGGAATGGTGCAGGCCATGGGGAAGGTTGGCTGTAGAGTGGTGGCCATAGTGGCCTGGTGGTGTCCCAAGGGGATGGTGGTGGCCAAGGGGATGATGGTGACCATGGGGAAGGTTAGCCATAAGGTGGTGGCCATGGCGGCATGGTGGTGGCCAAGGGGATGGTGGTGGCCATGGGGGAGGTTGGCCATAAGGTGGTGGCCACAGCAAGATGGTGGTGATCAAGGGAACGGTGGTGGCCATGGGGAGGACTGGCTGTAGGCTGGTGGCCACAGGGAGGTGGCGATGGCCATAGGGGAATGCTGGTGTCCATGGGGAAGGTTGGCTGTAGAGTGGTGGCCATAGTGGCCTGGTGGTGCCCCAAGGGGATGGTGGTGACCATGAGGAAGGTTGGCCATAGGGTGATGGCCATAGCGGCATGGTGGTGGCCAAGGGGATGGTAGTGGCCATGGGCAAGGTTGGCCATAGGGTGGTGGCCATAGTGGCAAGGTGATGGCCAAGGGCACGGTGCAGGCCATGGGGAAGGTTGGCTGTAGAGTGGTGGCCATAGCAGCATGGTGGTGGTCAAGGGGATGGTGGTGGCCGTGAGGAAGGTTGGCCGTAGGATGATGGCCATAGAGGGATGATGGTGGCCAAGGGGATGGTGGTGGCCAAGGGGATGGTGGTGACCATGAGGAAGGTTGGCCATAGGGTGGTGGCCATAGGGTGTTAGCCATAGCAGCATGGAGATGGCCATAGGGGAATGGTGGTGGCCATGGGGAGGCTTGGCCATAGGGTGGTGGCCCTGGGGTGGCCCTTGGCTGCCATGCTCACCTTTTCAGGACGAGGACGGCAACACCCTGTCGGATGAGGACATCTCAGCCGAGGCTGACACCTTCATGTTCGAGGGTGAGGGGAAGCCATCAGGTGCCATTGGGGGGTGGGGACATCTCCCCTGTCCCCTCGCTCACCCCTTGTCCCTGCAGGCCACGACACGACGGCCAGCGGCCTGGCATGGCCCTGGCCCGCCACCCCCACTACCAGGAGAGGTGCCGCCAGGAGGTCCACGAGCTCCTCAAAGGCAGGAACGTGGAGGAGATCGAATGGTGAGAGGTCCCCGGTGTCATCCCCCGGCCACCTGCCTTGGGGGACGTTGGTGTCACCATCCCTCACCCCCAGGGAGGACCTGTCCCACCTGCCCTTCACCACCATGTGCATCAAGGAAAGCCTCCGCCTGCATCCCCCTGTCACTGCTGTGTCCCGGCGCTGCACCGAGGACATCGCCCTACGTGATGGACGTGTCATCCCCAAGGGTACGGCTTGCCCGGGGTGCAAAGTGTCCCTGATGTCACCATCCCCCCTTGTCCCTTGTCCCTAAGGCATCCGTTTCCATCTCACCAGGGATCATCTGCTTGATGAGCATCTATGGGACCCACCACAACCCGGATCTCTGGCCCGAGCCTGAGGTAGAGCCACTTGGCCCTGGTGGCATGACCATAGGACAGCGAGATGTCCCTGTCACCATGGGCAGGGACAACCCTGTCCCCATGGCATGACGGTGTCACTCCAGGTCTACAACCCACTGAGGTTCAGCCCAGAGAACAGCCAGGGACGGTCCCCGTTGGCCTTCATCCCCTTCTCTGCCGGTCCCAGGTAAGCCATGGTGGGGACACAAGTGTCCCCACATGTCCCCTTCCCAGCCTGGTTGGGTTCAAGGTGGGGTGGTGTCCTCCAGTGGTGACGTTTGGGCATCACGGGGACAACACCGTCCCTACATTTCGATGAGGTTCCACAACCCAGATGATGGGAAGGGGTGGGGTGGTGTCTGCTGTCCCCAACGTGTCCCCCCCTCCGTGGAGGTGACAGAGGGGGTGGGACATGGTGGCAGGAACTGCATCGGGCAGAGCTTCGCCATGGCCGAGCTGAAGGTGGTGGCGGCATTGACGGTGGCACGCTTCACCATCCGGCTGGACGCAGAGCGGCCACCACGCCGCAAGCCCGAGCTCATCCTCCGCACCGAGGACGGGCTCTGGCTGGTGCTGGAGCCACTGCCGGAGGTGGCCTGAGGGACACGGGGACATGGGGGACACCCTGGGTGGTGGCTGTCCCACCCAAGGGAGGGGAGGTCAATAAACGGTGGCACACAGGGGACAGTGTCGTGGGTGGGAGGGACAGGGTGGGGTGGTGGGGCTGGTCCTTCTCGATGACGGGCCACCTCATGGCATGGACGGGGCCCTCCATGCCACATGTGACCGTCCCGGCATGGACATGTCCCTTGGGACATGGGGTCACCATCCTGGCATGGACATGGCCATGTGTCACCATACTGGCATGGACATGTCCCTTGGGATGTGGTGTCACCATCCTGGCATGGACTTGTCCTCCTGGGCCACATGTCACCATCCATGATGTGTCCCCCCATGTCACTGTCCCCTCAGGGATGTGTCCCCCCATACCACACATCACCGTCCATGGACATGTCACCCTGTGTCACAGTCCCTTCATGCCACACATCACCATCCATGGACGTGTGCCCCCATGTCATCGTCCCATCATGCCACATGTCACCATCCATGGACGTGTCACCCCATGCCACCATCCATGGACATATCCCCCCATGCCATACGTCACCCATTCATGACGTGTCCCCCCATGTCACCATCTCCTCATGGACGTGTCCCCCCCATGCCACACATCACCTTCCATGGACATGTCCCCCTATGCCACACGTCCCCCTCCATGACATGTCCCCCCATGCCACCATCCATGGACGTGTCACCCCATGTCACCATCCATGGATGTGTCCCCCCATGCCACCCTCCATGACCCTCCCTGACGTGTCCCCCCCATCCACGTGTCCCTCCCATGCCACCATCCATGGACATGTCCCTCCTGTGCCACCCTCCATGACGTGTCCCCCCATGTCACCCTCCCTGACGTGTCCCCCCCATCCCACCCTCCATGACGTGTCCCCTCATGTCACCCTCCATGATGTGTCCCCCTATGTCCCCCTCCATGACGCGTCCCCCCCTGTCCCCCCCCCTCACGCGTCCCCCCCTGTCCCCCCCCCTCACGCGTCCCCCCCTGTCCCCCCCCCTCACGCGTCCCCCCCTGTCCCCCCCCCTCACGCGTCCCCCCCTGTCCCCCCCCCTCACGCGTCCCCCCCTGTCCCCCCCCCTCACGCGTCCCCCCCTGTCCCCCCCCCTCACGCGTCCCCCCCTGTCCCCCCCCCTCACGCGTCCCCCCCTGTCCCCCCCCCTCACGCGTCCCCCCCTGTCCCCCCCCCTCACGCGTCCCCCCCTGTCCCCCCCCCTCACGCGTCCCCCCCTGTCCCCCCCCCTCACGCGTCCCCCCCTGTCCCCCCCCCTCACGCGTCCCCCCCTGTCCCCCCCCCTCACGCGTCCCCCCCTGTCCCCCCCCCTCACGCGTCCCCCCCTGTCCCCCCCCCTCACGCGTCCCCCCCTGTCCCCCCCCCTCACGCGTCCCCCCCTGTCCCCCCCCCTCACGCGTCCCCCCCTGTCCCCCCCCCTCACGCGTCCCCCCCTGTCCCCCCCCCTCACGCGTCCCCCCCTGTCCCCCCCCCTCACGCGTCCCCCCCTGTCCCCCCCCCTCACGCGTCCCCCCCTGTCACCATCCATGGACATGTCCCTCCCATGCCACCCTCCATGATGTGTCCCCGCATGTCACCCTCCATGACGTGTCCCCCATCTCACCATCCATGGACATGTCCCCCCCATGCCACCCTCCATGACGTGTCCCCCATCTCACCATCCATGGACATGTCCCCCCCATGCCACCCTCCATGATGTGTCCCCGCATGTCACCCTCCATGACGTGTCCCCCATCTCACCATCCATGGACATGTCCCCCCCCCGCCCCCCCCCCCG